TGGTGAGATTGAGAGGATGTACACTGAAAAAAATATTAATTGGATTTACTACTTTTTTAACTTTATATGTTTGTTTAAAATTTAGCCCATATCAATTGTTTGCAACCATTACCTTTATAAAATTTAGTGGATCCAATTAATCGTTTTTTCAGCGTAATATATGATAAGATCCTCTTACAACTTCACTATGAAGGTAAAATCAAAGTTAGTTTGTACTTTTTACATGTTTTCTGGTTTGGTAGATACTCTGGGGACCAAATCATTAGTCATATTTGCACAATATCTTTCCTTTAAAGTACAGTATTAAATCACCTTTCTCTAGTGTTTCTGTGTGGAAGGTCGTTTGCGTCTTGTTTCGCTTCAAAGCTCAGCTTGTCAACTGACAGGTAATTATAGTTGGGGTGACTATCGCTGTCTCTGTTTCTGAGTCTTTTGAGACGCCCACCTAACCCTTTAAATTAGTTTCACACAATTTCACTACAGTCTGTTTGTAGATGCGTGCTCCAGTGTCCTTTTATGTTTAAGAAAGAAAATCTGATAATAGTCTGTTTGACTGTTTAGTTCAACACTGTCTTGAATTTTTCTGACATTTGCCAAAGTCTGCAATCAATCTTCAGTAATATACAATGTGACTTTATTTATTTATTTATTTATTTATTTATTTATTTATTTATTTATTTATTTGTTTGTTTATTATTCATGCTTAAAAGTAATCATCATTGATTTCGCATTAAATTTCTCCAATAATTTTTTGAACAATTTTTACCTTAGACTTTGTAATCACATTTAGGAAAAGTAGAAATAGAAATGAAAATTTAAGAGATCTCTGTTTATTTTATTTTATTTTATTTTATTACACCAAAACATTTTTAGTATATATTGTTAGTCCTTATGAGCAATGTCTCCAGAATAAAGCATGCATGGGCTATCATGTAATTTAGACAAATAATAATATTTTGAGTTGACCTGCTGTCCTCATAGACAAGTAGTTAATAATGTCTTCAGCCAAACCTTGTTGTTTGTGATCATCATAAAGACTAATGTACTTGTGCTAGATGGAGCTCTTGTCGAGCCACAGGAAGCAGATTTCCTCATGCTCTGTTGCTCTCAGTGACCTTATGTGTTTTCCAATAGCAGTAATCAGACAGATGCTGTTCGCTATTACCCTAATGCTTCTTCCATTATGAGATTGAGAGCCGCTTGGCTCACAGCTTTATTTATTTTTAACCTTTATGTAAGGAGGTTAGGCACGCTGAAATTTAAAAAAAGCATTTCACCAAGAGTTGCTGGACCTGGCCAAGATTAAAAATGAACAAAAGCTGTAGGAAAATAGGGTGCTTTCACACCTGTGAATCGATTCAGTTGTTCCGAAACAGAGATTACAATTGTTACATTGTTGCTCTTTGCTCTTGGAGCGATTCGCTTTCACACTGCAAAGTTTCTAATCGGACCAAAAGAGCTAAAACAAGTCACGTGCGAGTAAACTCTCCTTACATTGGTCAGTGTCAGGGTTTATTTTGCAGCGTCCCGCTAAGCTGTCAGGAGAGGTGGTGGTTTGGTGGTGATTGACAGGGTGCGCGTGCGACGTGTCTGAGGAGAGACGCGGTGGGGAGGGGTGAGAAGGGTACGCGAAGATGCCTATTTGAGGACCGGGAGGGAGACGCATGATTACCGGGAGATCATCACCCATTTGCGGGCATCCGGAGACTCGCGAAACTTCCCGCCCTACTCATAATTCTCTCTTCATATAGCCGGATGCCTATAACATATCCATGAAACACAGTGATATAACCGCGCTCGGATCGGATCGCTTTCTTACTGCAATCGAACCGCTCCAGGGTTCGTTTCAATCGAGCCGAGACCACCTCATTCAAGCGATCTCGGATCGATTACTTTGGTGCGGAACAGAGCGCGATTGCCTTGTTCACATATGCCAAACTAACCGCGCTAACTGGGCAAACGAGATATGTTCCGAAACAAAAGTGTAGGTGTGAAAGCACCCTAAGACAAATTGCAACTAGACAAAAAAAACTTAATGTAAGATATATTGCACCAAAGTCGACGCGATGGTGCAGTAGGTAGTGCTGTCACTTCACAGCAAGAAGGTTGCTGGTTTGAGCCTCGGCTGGGTCAGTTGCCGTTTGTGTTGTGTTTGCATGTTCTCCCCGCGTTCGCATGGTTTTCTTCCAGGTGCTGCGGTTTCCCCACAGTCCAATTAAATGCGGTGTAAATGAATTGGGTGGGCTAAATTGTCCATTGTGTATGAGTGCAAATGAGTGTGTATGGATGTTTCCCAGTGATGGGTTGCTGCTGGAAGGGCATCCACTAAGTAAAACGTATTGGATATTATAAGTTGGCGGTTCATTTCGCAGTGGCGACCCCGGATTAATAAAGAGACTAAGCCGAAAAGAAAATGAATGAATATTGCACAAAAATATATTGCGCTAAATGATATTGTTAATTTTAGACAATTTTTAATTTGTCTGGTGTTCTTTCATGTTGACCAGGGTCATAACATTATATAATGCCAGATCGACAATATAATAGCATCAAAATGCAAGTACATTCTTCCAAAGAACACATAATATTTTATTCTTAAGAATATTTCATTTAATTATAATTATTTTAACAAGTTAATAATGAGGCATTGGAATCTTAATGTGAAATTATAATAAACAGTAGCAAAAAAGAGCAAGATTATAACTATATTAAAATTATATAATTTATTTGTGGATTTTGCTTTTTGTTTATTTTGAAAAAGAAAATTATTTATATATATATATATATATATATATATATATATATATATATATATATATATATATATATATATAAGAGCCTGTCATTTAATTTATTAATTGTTTTGTGAACTTTTGAATGTTTTTTTTTTTGTTTGTTTGTTTGTTTTACTTCTTTGTTTGGTTGTTTGTTTGTTTTTTGGTTTTGGCTAAGGAAGTTATTTTCTTTATTTAACATTATTTATTTATCATATTTCTCTTTTGTGTCGGTTTGGCTTGGTTTCACTTTTAAAAATATATTTCTGAACAACATAATAGCTTGTTGATTTATTTATTTATTTACTTGTTAATTTATGGATGTATTTACTGGGTTTAGAATTGTTTGTTTTCCTGCAAAAACACAAGTTCTTGTTATGAAGTAAGTGTATAATCACTTGATTGTTAGCACTTTAAGATACTGTGACAACAGGTATTACTGCAACAATGAGAGCACTTTGTCCTCACGAGTCGGGACTGACCTGGATAACGTGAAACCCAATCTGCACCACACCATTTCACACTTAACAGGTCACAAAATAGCAGTATCACTGAAAAGATGCATCAAGACTGACATCTCAACTTTATATGTTAGTCTATTGAAAAGAAAAAAAAAAAATTTTTCCTGAAACTCATTTTGGCTGCTGTCGAGAGCGGCCTATTCTTCCAATAACAAAACCTGGCGTGCAAATCTCATTAGATCTCCAATGAAGAGCAAGGTTGTGTCATCCAGTCTGTCTCTCTGTTTATTTCACAGCAAGTCGACTAGAGTGCAACCAAGTGATCTAGCTTTGAAAATATTCACTTTTTTTCATTGTGCTGTTTGTGTAGTTTCTGCAATTGCTTGGAAAAAAAATGCACATACCCAGAATGCTTCTGTAGGATGGGCAGAGGGATTATTTCAAAGGAAAGCTGCTGATGTGTTTGGTTTTTGTTTTAAAAAGACTCTTTAGTTTGTAACATTTATGACTGATTACAACCAAGAGCACAATTTTTGATAATTTTGTTTGGAATTATTCTTTTATTTTGAGATGTTGCAAACCGTGATAAAGAGAGTTGTGTGTTTGTGTGTGTGTGTGTGTGTGTGTGTGTGTGTGTGTGTGTGTGTGTGTGTGTGTGTGTGTGTGTGTGTGTGTGTGTGTGTGTGTGTGTGTGTGTGTGTGTGCGTGCGTGCGTGCGTGCGTGCGTGCGTGCGTGCATGTGTGTGTGCGTGTATGTGTGTGTGTGTGTGTGTGTTTTGGTTTATATATATATATATATTTTTTTTTTTTCATTGCCTTCGGTTTGGTTTGCTTTGATTGTCTTTGGTTGGTTACATTTTAAAAGGTTTTGTTTTTCTTGTTTTGTTTTGTTTTGGTTTTTTGTTTTGTTTTGCTTTGCTTTGCTTTAGTTTTATTTGGGTTTTGTTTGCTTTGCTTTTTTGTTTGTAGTTTTTGTTTTGTTCTGTTTGGTTTGATTTTGGCTTGTTTGGTTTCATTTTTAAAAATTTGTTTATTTTTTGGTTGCTCATTAGTTTTTTGTTTATTTATTTAGAAATGTTTTTTTCTTTAATTTTAAATCTTGCTAATATTGGATGGCTTTTCTTTTACAATAAAGATGATAGTAATGTAATTGATTTTGTTGAAAAAAGAGCCTTGCAAGAATTGTGTGACTGTGTGAGTTTTTTTTTTTTGCAATAAAGTGGGCTATTTTATATTTTGTGATCATGCAAAATTTTCATGACTGTTTACAATAAAATATTTTAATGAATATTTCACTGTAAACATTAACATTGCATAGAATCCTACTGTCACACAAGTCTTCCTCACAATCATTTACATTGTCCGAATTTCATTTTTCTCCAGCTTGTAATGTATGTTGTGTAACTGTACTTCAGACATATCGGCGTGCTCATTGACGTGCTGCTGTATGCACAGAATACAATGGCAGCCGTTCAAGTGAAGGGGGGCAAAGGTGACCGAGTAGCCCATGGAGACGATTTCTGTATACCTTACACAAAACGAGCTGTTTGCACACTCTCTTGGTCATGTGAGCTTTACACGTGAACCAATAAGCAAACTCCGAAAGACTGTTGTTTTTTTTACTAGTTACGACCTCCTTCATGAACGTGCGTTGTATGGGTTTTAAGTTACAGGGCAGGGAAGGTAAAGCCCCAGATGTTTTGAACAGTTTGTACATTGCAGTGACCATCATTTGGTGTGTGTGTGTTTTTTTTCTCTGTCACAGTCTCCCAGTCCAATAGCAGTTTAAAGAAACACAGGAACCGAAGTATCTTTAGTCCCTTCTTCTGCTGTTTCCGGGACTATAATGCAGAGCCACCAGCCACCAACAACAAGACCTGCTCGCTCCCTCCACCTGCCGAGGATAACAGCAGCTCTCCAAAGGTGAGGCCTTCTTTATTTCTATAAAGCAAAAACACAGAGTTTATTTTCATGCACCTGTCCTTTTTTCAGATAAAAAAGTTTGCAAAATACACTTCTGTCACACTTTCTATATTTGTTTCTGTTGATTTTTATTACAAATCATATTTAAAAGGCAGTTTATTTATTTCTCCTTTGAGCCATAAATGTCACAGCACTTACTTACAGTACATAAAGCAAATTCACAGTTCTACTCGTTATGTTGTTATGTTACGTTACATTTTGTTATGGCATGTTAAGTTACGTTATGTTACGTTACATTATGTACAAATTTGCCTGAAGATAATATACTTATAATTATTTATATATTTATTTATAAATATACAGTGTTGGGGTAGCGCATTACAAGTAAGAGTTTTGTAAAAATATTTCATTTTCTAAGTAACGATAAAGTAACGTGTGACTTTTAAAAAATAGATCATAATATTTAAGTTACATTTTTGAAAATGTAACATGTTATTTTTTAGATTAATTAATGAGGTTTTAAAAAATAAATAGCTAAATTAAAATTAAATTAATCACAGTGAATCAAGCAGTCAATAAGAGAATGTATTTAACATTTTAATCGCATCAAAGAAAAGAAAAAGGAAATTGTTTCAATGGACAGTGATTTTACCTGAGACAAATTGCACAAAAGTAGCAAATACATTGCTTTAAACTTTCAATAATCTGTATCTACGACATGTATAGCCCTGGGGTCAGGAAGTTCCCAGATAACATTATCCTAAAATTATTTTTTTATGCTTTTAGGTAAATGTAGGTTTAGGTTTTACAGTGTGTTGTTAGTAGCAGAGCTCCTCTATTAAAAAAGTAACTCTATTTAAAAAAGTAACTTAATATTGTTATGCATTACTTTCAAAAGTAACTTTCCCACACACTGTGTGTGTGTATGTGTATGTATATGTTTGTATGTATGTATGTATGTATGTATGTTTGTATGTATGTATGTATGTTTGTATGTTTGTATGTATGTATGTATGTATGTATGAATGTATGTAAAAAAAGATATATTATATACATATATCCCCTGAATTATTATTCCTTCTGTTTATTTTTTCCCCAATTTCTGTTTGAGGGATAGAAGATTTTTTCAACACATTTCTAAACATAATAGTTTTAGTAATTAATTTCTAATAACTGATTTATTTTATCTTTGCCATGATAAATATTTTTCAAGACACTTCTATACAGCTAAAGTGACGTTTACAGGCTTAACTAGGTTAATTAGGTTAACTAGGCAAGTTAAGGTACTTAGGCAAGTTATTGTATAATGAAGGTTTGTTCTGTAGACTAATGAAAAAAATATATAGCTTAAAGGGGCTAATAATTTTGACCTCAAAATGGTTTTTAAAAGATTTAAGACTGCTTTTATTCTATCCTAAATAAAACAAACAAGACTTTCTCCAAAAAAAATAAATAAATAAATAAAATAAAATAAAAATGAAGAGGGGGTTTAATAATTCTGATATCAGCTGTATATATATATATATATATATATATATATATATATATATATATATATATATATATATATATATATATATATATAATCACAATCAAAAATAGAATAGAATAGAAAAGAAAAGAATAGAAAGGTTTGAATCTGGATCCAATGTTTAGATTTTGGTGCTAGAAATAAATGCAAAATGTTTCATGAAATGCATTATTAGCATATTTGAATGTAACATTTTAGAACACTTGTAATGAAAAAAGATTGCAATTTTTAATGTTATCAGTCAGCTATGTGTAAGTATGGTGCTAACATTTCATTAAATTCTTCACCCTTTTGACCAGCAGTGTCTTGCCTTAGTGAAACTTATAACGGTGCAAAAATCTGTTTGCATGAAATTGAACAGCCTATACTGTGATTGAAAACAAGCTAAGAATAACGCCTGTTTATCAGCAAACTAGCGGAGTGTTTTTTTTTTTTTTACTTTTTGTTTCTTCTTGTTTGTGAGCTGCGCCGAATGCAGGCTCTGTGCATGCTGTTCCTGTGTCCATACCGCAAAGTTTTCCAGCTGTTCCGAACTCGCTGAACCCGCCATGATGTTTACCATCCCGTTCTAGAAATGATGGACTCGTTTCCCCTCACACACATTCTTCAATTTCCACACGCACACATCTAGTATATATATAAATATATACAAACACACACTCTCTCTCTCTCTTTCACATTCCAGAACTGGCTCTTTAATTCCAATAAAGTGTGTGTGTCTTGTGTGATTGATTACTTGCTGCCCAGTTTGTTCCTTCCCCTCCTTTTCTTTTTCTCTCTGTCTGCCGTTTTCTGCGTACACTTTCAGGAGGAATAGAGTGAGAACGAGCTGTGCCTGCTGATGGTGGTGTTTATTTGCACATGTCGTCTGCTCTGTTTTTCAGATTAATAAAGTAATTATGCGAAGCAGGTCACCATGCAGGAAGGTTAAAAATAGAGGAGGGCTCTGTAATATCTCAATTGTTTCTTAGGGACGAAAATCAGATTGAGTGTTTTAGTAGTGTCTAATGCTCGTATGATTGTTTACTGGAGGAACAGAAAGCGTTACGTTCAGTTTCTGTAACGCTTGTAATCTTAGGATTTATAGACAATTGCTAAAATGTTACATTGTGCAGATTTTAAAATTCAATCAATCAATCAATCAATAAGAGTTCATTTATTTTCTCAAATATTTGACATTTCACTAGGTAAAATGTAAATAAATTATTATTTGGTTTAAATATTTGTATTATTTGTGTATTATTAAATACACTTTTAAAAAATAAACATACAACTTGCATTTTAACAATTAGACATTTGAATGAATAAATAAATAGATAAATAAATAAATAAAAACAACAACAACCTAAAACATTAAAATAATAATTAAACAAAAAAATAAACATGCATTCCCTTAACCAACCACCCACCAGTGCTATCCAATGGTAAAAGTAGGTAATAAAACCATAGTAAACATATTAATCACAAGTAGAAAGTAGAAAGTTTGTAGAAAGAAAATAAAAGGGGACCAATTTTTTTTTTTAATAACAAAACCTTGTCATTAGGGTAAGCCAGATTTTTTTCCAGATGTAATGTACCCCTTAATTCTGTCAGCCATAATTTAAGAATTGGAAAATTTTTTTTTCCAAAACAAAAGGATACCGTTTTTGGATCAACTCATATGAGAAAACAGTTATTGTACCCGTGTAAAATTTTCCAGAAATCTGAAATAATTAATTTAGGATCTAGTTCAATCGGAATGTCTAATGTATAAAAAAAATGTAAATATTTTGTTCCAGTAACTCGCATAGCATAGGAATGAGACAGGTTGGAATCTAAAAACTGACATTTGCCACACAATAGCGACACTTCTGGAAATATTTTATTCAATTTACACTTGGAATATTGAAGCCTATGAAGCACTTTAAACTGAATGGGGCAATAGCTATGTTTCCATTCACCTATTTTTATGGCATTTTTGATATGCGCATCAAAAAACGGTTGATGGAAACACCAAGATGCGCGTACGTTTTTAAAAAAAAGCATTAAAAAACATGTGCATAACTGAGTAGGATAAACTTTTTATTCGATGAGAAAAGATGCGCATAAACTACGATGGAAACACTTTGTCATGATTTTGTTATAAGAGATCATATGATGATAAAAATGTGTGTAAATGTACAAACTAGCAGGCTGAGCACACTGTAAAACATCTGAAATGTTGTTTTGGTCATTCTAAAACACCTTAATCGTTTCAGTATTAGTGTTATTATATTATTAATGACCTCCAGAATCAAGAGCCTCAGTGCTCCGTGTTTCACACCTTCTAATGCCACTTCGCATTCACTGCATGTCAAGATTGCCCTCTGAGGTGCAGGTCATTAATTAAAAAAGGAAAAGATTCACACAGCTTCTCCTACTACAGCAAATTCTGGTTATATTATTGATATTTGGTGCCAGTTAATCAGGAAGTGATGATTTTTGTTCTCTTTGACTCATTGGATGGAAACGCTGCTTTATTCACGTCTTTTATTCGATAATCCAATTTTGGACATAATGTTAATTAGCATTTTTGGATAGAAACATAGCTAATGTTTTGCTTTATTGGGACATTTGTGAACCAGTTCAAGACTTTGTTACCAAATTTAACTTGACATTTCTACTGCAAAATCTTCTTCCAATGCAGATTTAATGTTCTCCATTGATGGACTTTTTACCTGTTCTAAACCCTTTCAAAGCAAGGAAATGGTACCATCTCTAAGACATCTTTCCAGAAATGTGTCCCGATACATGTATGATGCCATGGCATATTTAGAAATGTTAAAAGTCTCTCATTTGAAGGTATCTAAAAAAGTAATAAGAAGGAATACTGTATTTTTCACACAGCTGCTGAAATTAAGCAAATTTTCCATCTACATATAAATACCCTATGTTTCTTAACCCTAATTTTTCTAAAACTAACATTGAAGGTCGAAAAGCGTGGTTAGCTGAGATGGATAGCATATAAAATATTATTTAAAATACACACAAATATAACTTTGAATTTAAAATATTGCAAGTTATTATTATTATTGTCTCAGAAATATTTTAAATTTTACTGAGGTTAGGTCAAGACATAGATGATATGCTAAATATTATAATACAGTGCTGTAGCCTAGATACCTACCTGGGAAATATTTTCAGATATTGCGTAGTATCATTGCACCTGCTGTAGCCATGGTACTGCAGCAAAGTTCTTTGATTATTACGCCAGACTGAGAGTATAGTTCCTAGCAAACAGCAACTTCTTATTTTCTGTTCATTTTGGTACATGATGTAACTACAGAAGAGTCGAGCTTTAAATAGGAAAATTATCAATCCGAATCAATAACTTATGCTAAGCTAAGCTATTTATGCTCCCACCAGACCCGGAGACCAGCTACAAAACTCAGATTCAACTCCAGTGGAGATGAACTCCCAAAAATGGACTGTTTCTTTAAACACCTTTTATTTCACATGTTTATTTACAAAATAATTTTTGGTGCAAAATGAACAAAAATACTAGTTATTTTAATAAATTTTAGCTTATGTTAACTTTTTAGTATATTTACCCTTGACTCCTTTTCTGTTTCTTGTTCTTTCTGTCTCTTACACACATTCAAGCACACACACACACACACACACACACACACACACACACACACACACACACACACACACACACACATTCAGACGCTGGGCAGTGTACCATGTGAAATGACCTCACTGTCCGCCATGGTGAAACTTAAAGCCACGGTGCTCCACAAACACTCATGTTTGCTGCCAAAGCAGGTACAGGCAGCTATAAATGGATCTGATTCAGATTACATTACCACCAATGTTTGCCTGCGAATGACTCTCGAGCTGCAGAGGAATGTCCTTTCATTTTACATGTGCACGTGCTCCTAGCTGCCCTGTTTTAGACCCGCAGAAACGTTAAACTAAACCCATGTGTTTTCCAGATTACACCGCGAACAAGATGTGATTTCTGTCAGCATGTCTGTCTTCTGTGACTTAGTCTGTCATGTGATAGTAATGAACAACTGTTCATAATATCTGTTGTGTTGTGTGCTTTCACAGTGTCTTGTTTGTTGTGTTTTGTTTTTTTGATGGTTCTCTTTTCCCCGTTTTGTCTCTCTCTGGTTTTGTTTCTCAGTGTGATCAGGTCCAGGTCATTCCTATTCCCAGTGTATGTATTATCTTTTTTTATTTTGCCTGCATGTTTATATAGATTTTCTCCTTAGAGAGAAACCTGCCTGGCTTTTTCTTTTCTCCTGGATTTAATTTCTTTGTTACTTACATAAGCAGTATCTTGGAAAAAAGCCACATATTATGCACAAATGACTCATAAATTAAATTGCGGCCTTTCAGTTGTTAAACATTTTAATTGGCTTAATTACATGAAGTTGGCTCAATTAGATTATTGTGACAAATGCATTGAACTGATATTCAAAAAAGTGGCTTTTCTCTTTTTTCTCTTTTAAATGCGACAAATCAAACAAAAAATTAAATGTTTATTTTCATTTTTTAATCTGGCATAAATTAACTAGGGATGCAAGCAACAACTATATATTATGTTAGTTAATTAATTAACCTAAATAAATGTGATTTAAATCAACATAATGTACAATAATTTGAGGTTTGATTTTAAAAATTCTTTTCTCAAAGTCTTTTTTTTTTTCGAAATATTTTCTCTTCAGGTGTTAATGCTTCATGCTTTTGCTGTTATGATATAATAAATCTCCTCAGCACATTTAAATGATGCGATGTGGATTGCTCATGCTAGTGGCATGGATGAAATGCTTATTTCATTTAAAAGCATGAAAATCAGATTTCAAAGGAAAAATAATATAAAATTATATATTAATTTAAAAATTGGATTTTCACTAATTATTAGCATAGACTCAGCCGATTATATCGACAAATCGTGGAAGCCCTAAAATAAACTAATAGAACTGAACACACTTTTACACAATATTAATTGAACCCCATCAGATATCGTGTACTATATGTTTTATATTTATGTACAGTGGTGTGAAAAGGGTTCGTCTCTGTTCTGATTTCTTCTTTGCAAGTTTATCACACCTTAATGTTTCAGATGGTTTAAATATTAGCTTTAAAATTAAGGTCTTTGTTATTAAGGGGAAACAAAATTCAAAACTACATAGCTATTTATGGAAAAAGTTGTTGTCCCTCCAGGTAAAACATAACTCTTGTTCATCGCACCTGAGTTCAATTTCTCTGGCCACACCCAGCCTTTATTACTGCCACAACTGTTCGCAATTAAGCAATTACTTAAATAAGACTTGCTTGACAAAGTGAAGTAGACCAAAAGATCCTCAAAACCTAGACATCATGCCAAAATTCAAAGAAATTTAAAATCAAATGAAAACGAAAGTAATTGAAATCCACCAGTCTGGAAAAGGTTATAAAGCCAATTCTAAAGCTTTGGGACTGCAGTGAACTACAGTGAGAGTCATTATCTACAAATGGCAAAATCATGGAACAGTGGAGAACTTTCCCAGAAGTATCTGGCTGACCAAATTTACCCCAAGAGTGTAGTGACAACAAAAGATCACAAAAGACCACACAACAACATCCAAAGAACTGTAAGCCTCACTTGCCTCAGTTAAGGTGAGTGTTCATGACTTCACCATAAATAAAGAGACTAAACAAAAATGATTTGCAAAGCAGAGTTCAAAGATTAAAACCACTGCTGAGCAAAAACAACAAAGGCTTGTCTTAGTTTTGCCAGAAAACATCTTGCTGATCCCAAGTATTTTGTGGAAATACTCTGTGGACTGACGAGACAAACTTTTGAGGAAGCGTGTGTCCATTATGCATGGCTTGAAAAGAACATCACATTTCAGAAAAAAAGGACATCATTCAAACAGTAAAATGTGTGGTGTTGGTGGCGGTGGTAGAGCGATGGTCTGGGGCTGTTTTGCTGCTTCTGGACCTGGAAGACTTGCTGTTAAAAATGGAACCATGAATTCTGCCATGTACCAAAATATCCTAAAGGAGAATGTCCGGCCAGCTGTTGGTGACCTCAAGTTGAAGTGAACTTGGGTTTTGCAGTAGGACAATAATCCAAAGAACAGCCTACTTTTGAATGACTGAAGAAAAACAAAATGAAGAGTTTGGAGTGGCCTAGTCAAAGTCCTAATCTAATTAAAATGCAGTTGAACGACCTTAAAAAGGCAGTTTATTCTCTAAAACCCTGCAATGGGCTGAAAAATCCCCACAGCGCTATTAAAGACTCATTGCTACTTATCAAAAATGCTTGACTGCAGTTGTTGCTTTTAAAGGTGGCAAAGAGCAACATAGGGCTACGTCATTTTGGATTTAGTTTTCCCCTAATAATAAAAACCTTCATTTCAAAATTGCATGATGTGTTTTCTTGTTCTATCTTTGACTAATAACTAAAGTTGAAATTAGTTTGAAGATCTGAAAAATTAAAAAGTGACAAACATGCAAAAAAAAGAAGGGGAAAAAAAGAAATCAGTTTTATAGCAAGGCTGCACGATATTAGAAAAAACGAACATTGCGATACTTTTTTCCTTCAATACATACTGCGATATTAAGTACATTTTCACAAGATCACTGCCTAGCTCTATTTGGGGAAAAAAATCCTAATCATAAAATATCATCAGTATCTCAAATATTGATAAATACAGTAAAGCAAAAATGCAAGTGAAAAGCCTGAATGACTCACCTGGCTTGAAATGTTCACTCAGTCACCAGCCCTAAAAACACTTGCAAATGACAAACATCTACAAGTAACTTTACAACTTCATGAGTGTTTTCAACTGTGTCTCCTGCTCAACTACACTGTAAAAAAAAAAAAAAAAAAACTATTCTGTAATTGTTCTGTAATCTGACATTTGCTGAAACTATGTATTATGCAGCCTTATTTTATAGCCTCAGACACATAGATTGAGTTGTATTCAAATTTATATTCAGATGTAATCAGATATAGTTGTATACATATATAGTTGCATACGAATGCCTTTAAACAGAATATTCTGTTCACACTTTAAAGTGAAGTATCAGCCAAAAATGGAATTTCTGTCATCATTTTTAACCTGTTATTTCTTCTGTAGAATACAAAAGATATATATATTTTTTCACACCTTCATGCAATTAAAGTTAGTCAAGCGTTAAATACCGCTGATTAAACTACACTGAATATCATTATTTGGACAGTTTGTTTTTGTATCGTTTTCTCATTTCTGATTTAAAAAAATAACATTAAATTAAATATTTCACTCAAAATTCTGAATATGTAAAGTTAAATTTATTTGTTTACCAAAAAAGGATAATTTGTCATGATTAACTCACCCTTGTGTCATTTCCAAACTTGTTCTTTCTTCTGTCACAAACAAAAGATGAATTTAAAAATTAAATTCAGAATTTGTAAAGATAAAGTGATAGTTTACTTAAAAATAAGTTGTCATTGTTTAATCACCCTTGTATCCAAATACAATTTCTAAAGTTGTTCATTTTTCTGTGGAACACAAAAGAAGATCTTTAAATAAAACTTGAATTAAAAACGAACTTTCAACAGTTGTTCTCCATATAATGAGTCATAAAAGGTCCTTATTTCAAATATTTCACTCGAAATTTATAATTGAAAAAGTTTGACAGCTTAATTTATCTAAAATAATTATAATTTCTCATCATTTGCACACTCTTGTCATTTCAAAACTTTCCTCTGTCCAACACACAAGAAGATATTGGGATGTATTGTTTCTGTCCATACAGCATAACTAAACAATATTCAGTGACTTTCATAGACTTAACTTTTGTGTTCCACAGAAAGATCAAACAGATTGGGAACAACAGGAGAATGTCTAAATGATAAAAGAATCTCCATTTTGGGAACTGTCCTTTGAAAATAATCTGGAAATAATCTGGTTTTACAGTCTTATTTTTAGGGAATTGAGAACCTGATAGTGTAGTTACCAATAATCTCAAGGACAACAGCAGTCTTCTAAATTGATCCCACGCGGCACCTGCTAGAGGAAGAGCGTGTGGAGAGCTCTGTCGATGTGAGCCAGGTCTTCACGCTGAGTCTGAGATAGGAAAGACCCAAATCCTGAAGCAAACTCCACCTGCTTCTGCCTGCTCAGCAAAAAACCCAGCATCCTCGCTGAGAAAATGCTGGCAGTTGGTTTCATTCTCACAGTAATTGTAATCAAACCTAGGATCCGCTGGTTTTTTTCTGCGATGACAGCGGGGAATGTCTCACTGCCTGCTTCTAGACCATGATGGCTGAAATTTTCGACTGCATGATGTCAAGCTTTTAGTGTCTTCTCTACAAGGCATTTTGAAAGTGTCTGTATTGTGGTCATTTAGTGAACTGCAAAAAGATTATCTTAATGCAAGCAAGTGATATAGCATTTCAAAAATGAATGCTGGGATTGATTGACACAGCATGAGTCTTTGGTTATGGTTACAGCATTGTTTGAAAGTCATAAACTTCTCAGAGTTATGATGTAATGTAATTGCATGTGCTCATGGGGTATGCAGAAATCATCTTGTCTGTGTATTCATGTGGGAAATTAGTTCTCCCTCAATTAATTAAACAATGTAAAATGTATATATTTATTTAGTATTTGACAATATTGAATATTCAATTGTATGCTCATTTCTCCTACACTGTAAAAATAATGATTGCCTTACATTTTTAAGCTGAATCAAATCTGAGTCATTTCAACTTGTAATAAATTGACTTAAAACAGCTTATAAAATTAAGTTAGAAAGTGATTATATTAGTTTAATTAGTTACAATCAACTGAAAACATATGTTGTCATGACTAAATGATCATATAAGTTTTACAATGTACATTTGAATGGCTTTTGCCTGCTTTACATGCTTTTGTAAGTCCATTTCTACCACTGAAAAAAGTTATTTTAGCTTTTTTTTCTCAGAATTGTGAGGTTTTGTTGTTGTTTTTTTCTGACTGTATAACTCACATTTGCAACTTTTTTGTCAGAGTTCTGCCTTTACTCAGAATTACGTGTTGAATAGTGATTTATCAAGTCAAAATTGCAAGACATAAACTTACAGTTTTAAATTTACATCTCAAAATTTTGAGGAAATGAAAGTCTGAATTCTGAGATAAAATGTTGCAATAGCCTTTTTAATTTTTATTTGGTGATGAAAACACGCTTCCACATTTTTGCAATAAGCATTTAATAAGTATTGGGCAAAAACAAATGACTAAATAGAACTGATTTAATATAGTAGGAAATATATAAAAAATCAAACTATAATAAAACATTTATACAACTTATAATGTTAAAATATGATGTTGCAGTATCTAATTACTTAGTTACCATTTTATTATTTTTTTTATTTGGTCACTTGTTTTATTGTATTTTTTTTTTTTTTTTTTTTTTTTACAAAATAGTGTTAAATATATACACTCACTGGCCACTTTATTAGGTACACCTTACTAGTATTGAGTTGGACCCAATTTTGCCTCCAGAACTGCCTTAATCATTTGTTGTACAGATTCAAAAAGGTACTGGAAATAATCTTCAGAGATTTTGGCCCATATTGACATGATAGCATCACACATTTGCTGCAGCTTTGCCGGCTTCACATCCATGATTGTCTCGACCATGGCTGTGTCTGAAATCGAATAATTCTATACTATATAGTATGCTACTGTAAAAACAGTATGCGAGCCGGGTAGTACTGTATGTTCCAATTCAAAGAATTTGAAAAACAGTATGTAAGAAGTAAATGAATGACCTACTACTTCCAGCAACATTCTGAAGTGTGCATCCAATGCACATCCAATGATGCCTCACGAGAAAATTCAAGAATGGGAGTGAAGCTATGCAAATGACTGGGTAGGTCATGGGATCATGACAGAATGGAGGATGTAGTACGTCCGAGTTACATTCATACCACTCACATTTACACTGTATAGAAAGTACTTTTCTAACGGTCGAGTAGTACATTTAATATCAAATGCAGTACCTATTGAGTAGTAGGCGATTTCGGATCCAACCCATGTGATTGGCTGATTCGAAATTTGCATTAACGAGCAGTTGGACAGGTGTACCTAATAAAGTGTAGAACAGAATTTAATATTATGTAAGTGACAATTCTTTGTAAACCAATAGTGTTCTGCAGCAGTGAGCAGCAGCTGCTTTTCTTAGGGTCCCAAAAGTGGTACGGTTAGCTACTTTGGTACTTCTGACAGTGGAAATGGAAATAAATGGATACTGTACTATACTATATCCAACTGCCTATAAATTCTATACGAATAGTTAAAAAGCAATAGATCTGATTAGAATTGATAATAGTTGTTGAAATCTGATGAGGTAGACGTACCGTATGTAACAGCAGTGAAAGGTCATGAAGGCCTCAGACAGATTTATACTGGCACAGATAAATCATCCAGTCCTCCATGACCTTTAATTAACACTCATGCTCAACTGCACATGTATAGGGTATTAGGCATATTACTGTCATGAATGTACATTTCTTATTCATGCATGCATGCATGCATGGGATGTGTATGACTTAGCTTGCGTCTTTGAATAAGTGAGAGTGTGTTCCGGCCCCTTAGGCAAGTCCATCTGCCTCCCTTAGGTCAGGCTTAGTAAAGGACGTCTCTTTCCCATTTCTGGCAGAGCGTCTACAGAGGCAGCTTGTGTTTAGGCAGCATGATTTGGCAGTGAAGCCAATTTGAGGGACAGTCACTTTAACGCAGTGCTGTGATCGCTGTTTCAAGGTTATCCAAAAGCACCAGATCCCAGTACATCATTTGGGATTGATATTGGACAACAACAGAAGAATCTCCAGAGCATGTTGTGCCCCGTTGGATTGTGGACCATAGCTTTTGATTATTACTTCAAATGTCTGGCTGATATGATAAGCATGCATCTTTTATCCTCTGCTGAACTGCTTGTTTGGCCTCTTCTCCTTTTATGTATTTATCTGTATTGTGTTTTTTCCAGCCTCCAGCCAAATACATTTTGCCTGAGGTCAGCATTAATGATTACGGCAAGAACTGTGTGGTCATTGACCTGGACGAGACCCTTGTGCACAGCTCCTTCAAGGTACTTATTCTCTCACATAAACTAAAATACTAACATCTTTGCTATGATATTTTATGTGTGAATAAAGGGGATGTTAAATCTAATATTCACCTTTTTGTATGGAATTACTAAATCGTTGTTTCCTCATGTTAATCAGTTTCTTCTATATTATATGACAAGATTTTTAAAAATATGTATTTTTAACTATAGTTATGTTTCAAAACCTAATTAGCTGCTTGCATGAGGATTCTTTTGAAGAATCACATTTTTTTATTTTTTTATTTTGTATAATAAAGATCTTGCATGGAGGAGGAAACCCCTGAATTTATTTGAGTTTAGTATATTTAGAAAATGCTAAAAATATATATATTTTCCATTAAAAATACAGTAGAAACCATATATATATATATATATATATATATATATATATATATATATATATATATATATATATATATATATATATATATTTATGTTACTCTTACAACAAAGATCAATGACAAGACTTTTTTTATGGAGAAGCAAATCTCTGAAAGCATTACAATATGACATGGTGGAGAAAGCAGGCAGTGTTGATTATTAATCTGTGTTTTTCTGTCTACTAATAGAATATAGAAGTTACCATTTATTTGTCTGCTTTGTTTGTTTTTTATTCCTAAAAGAGTGTATAAATCAAGTCTCCTACACAAAGCATTGTTTGTATGGAGTTTCTGTGTATGTGAAGCCATTTCAAACTAATCACTTTTGAGGTTTCATTTCACTTACAGTTCTCCATGAAAAGACAGCTGTCTTAGTATACACAGTAATCTCAGTCTTCATTAATAGATGAAAAAGTATAAATTCAGAGGGTTTTAATTGGCCTGATGATTTGCTGCCACAACAAAAGCCATGATAACAGACTGTATTGGCAGATCTTTGAGACCGTTGGGGTGGATTTTAAGTCCCAGATGAATTAAATCCTCTTCAGTGATTAAATGTTTGTCTGGTCCCTAGAAAGTAGTGCTTCAGGGAGCCACCTGCTGAGTGTAGTGACCCACTTCTCTGCATCTTGGTTTTAGGCTGCTTTTTAAGTCATACGTACACACACTCACACACACATATGGTCAAATAAACAACTTGACTGCACACAATCAGCTCAGATTTACATATATATACAGGCATCCAGCTTAATGCATACATGTCTCGCACAGCTGGATGAATCCTCGCTCCCAAGAGAGAATGACTGTGACAGATAGTGAATGTGTTTGCTCTAAGACTAATAACTATGTTTTGGTAAAGCAAAGCCTGTCCTCCTTTAAAATGTCTGCCTGGCAGCTCCTGTTTTTGCTCAGAGACGAGAGAAAGGCGGCGACTGAGAGAAAGAGGCCCAGAGAGAGGGATGCATGCCTTTGTGCGCGTTCACAACCTCGCACACACACACACACAAATACACCCACCCTGACATCAAAACACACTCGCGCTCACATGTTACATTGAAAAAGGTATGCTCACAGTTACACAACAAAGATTTGATGGTGGCCGTACTTGTTTACAATGTATTTTGATACTCGTGATTATTGCGTATATGTATATTTTTTACATTTATGAATTGACTAAATTAAATCTTTGGCATTTACACAATTACTTTACTTACATTTACAAAATAAAGCTGCAAAATGGAATAAAATATAAACAACGTTACTTTTTAATGTTTCATTTTATATATTACTGTTCAATATAGTCAGGGTGCTTTTTAAAATAGCTTTTTAACAATCAAATAAATAAACAACTGGACGTACATTTGCTTTAAAAAGGAATTGGTGAGAAATTGCGTTTAAAACAGATTGTTTGAGGTTTATAAGAACATATCTGATCATAAAGAGTTAAAAACCTCTTTGGAATAAATGGTATTTAGTTGCTCAAAATGTCTAAAAATATATACACTACCGGTCAAAAGTTTGGGGTGATTCTTTATTAATGTTTTTTTTTTTAAGAAAATGATTCTGTTCATCAAGGTGGCATTAAATTAATGTAAAAATTATTTACAATTTTAAATAATTGCTTTCTTATTGTATGTAGTTTCAAATGAAAATATTACTCCAGACATTATTGATTTTATTACTATTACCATTAATAAAATTATTACAATAGTAATAAAAATTAATATTAGAGTGATTTCTGAAGGATCACGTGACTCTGAAGACTGGAGTAATGAAGCTGAAAATTCAAGTTTAAAATCACTTGAATAAATTATTAAATGAAATTATAAACCACTTTTCGTTATTTTATAGTGAAATAACATTTCACAATTTTACAATTTTGACTGTATTTTTAATTTTAAAAATGCAGTCTTGGTGAGCAGGAGAAGCTTATTCTAAAGCATTTAAAAATCCTACTGACCACAAACTTTTAACTGGTAATGTATTTTTAATTAAAACATATCTATCGCTTAGTTTTTTAAAGTTAATGGATTAATTTTACCTGCATTATTGTTCTTTTACACACCACAATATATATGTTTCAGTTTCCAACTGTTTGTAAACAGGTGTACAAGTATGTGTTTGGTAACAAAATCCAGTCTCAAAAAAGGCGTTTTTCTATAATATTAAACGCCTTTAAAAAATGAAATGCCTTTTTTACATCTTTAAATAAATTGCCTCTTTTTTAGAGCTTTTTGCTGTAATTGTACTTTACTTTTCTGCATTTTTTTCTTTTGCATCACTGCAATCTTTATTCTCAAATAAATTCTATAATCTCAAATAAATACTCAAAGTAAGCATATTTATTATTTATTATTATGTGGTAAGGAACCATCATTTAAAAAAAAATAAAACTTTACAACTTTATGTATTTGTTTATAAATTGAATTGCTTGGTTTATATATATATATATATGTATATATATATATATATATATATATGTATATATATATATATATATATGTATGTATGTATGTATGTGTATGTATATATATATATATACATATATATATATATATATACAGTTGAAGTCAGAATTATTAGCCCCCCTGTTTAATTTTTCCCCTATTTCTGTTTAACGGAGAGATACAATTTTCAACACATTTCTAAACATAATAGTTTTACTAACTCATTTATAATAACTGATTTCTTTTATCTTTTCCATGATGACAGTAAATAATATTTTACTAGATATTTTTAAGACACTTCTATACAGCCTATAGTGATATTTAAAGGCTTAACTAGGTTAATTAGGGCAACTAAGCAGGTTATGGTAATTAGCCAAGTTATAGTATAACAATAGTTTGTTCTGTAGACTATCAAAAAAATATATAGCTTAAAGGGGCTAATAATTTTGACCTTAAAATGGTTTATAAAAAATTAAAAACTGCTTTTATTCTATCCGAAATAAAACAAGAAGAAAAAATATTATCAGACATACAGTGGAAATTTCCTTGCTCTGTTAAACATCATTTGGGCAATAATTTAATAAAAAAGATAAAAAATTCAAAGTGGGGCTAATAATTCTGATTTCAACTGTATATGTACAGGTCATTACACAAACAAATTACCCAAAGAATTTTAGAATTTATAGAGTTATTTATTAATCATTTTGCAAATATCAGTTTAAAAGCAATGGGAGACATTAAATTGGGCATAATGTTTGTGTGTGTACTATCTCCAAAATCTCAAACTGTACTGCACTTTCTAAGAGTTCATTCTTTCATTAACATGGCAGTGTAAGCTTGTGATAAGTCTTTAAGATGAATATAGATTTGGGTTGTAAATGATGTATACAGTATCAGATTTATATCATAATAGGATTCAAAATATTAAATTCTGTAGCAAATAAATTACAATGCAGAATCAAATGGATCACACACTCCTCCTGCTGGCCATATTATGAACTAATAATATGTACATCAGCCTACTGTTAAAACTGATCTGGAGTCAGTTCTTTTATTAATGTTTTAAACCTGAAAATATAACATGTAGAAACCATGCACTGACAAATAAAAGACCACTTTAAAATGTATGATTTATAGTTTGTGTAACATTATATTTTGTATTCTGTAACCTGACAACATGTCTCCTAAATGTAAAATAAAAATATTGCAATCTAGAGGATTCTTTGTTTTTGTATAAAATAACATAAAATAATTAGAGATATGTTTTCAGGCATAATTGTTCATTTTAAATAAATCAATTTTACCATGATTTTCAGTCAAAAAAATAGTATTTATTTTTGAAGAAATGTTGTCACCGAACAAATCTAATACAAATATTTTAATCAAACTTATACCTAATAAATTAAAACAACATTCAAACAATTAATATTAACAATGAATTACACCTGTATTTATTATTTAGTGTGTTGAAGTGTTTTTAAAAAAAGGTAAACCATGCAGGACTAAGAACTTTTTCTTTTCCCATACTAAGCAAATAAACAAAAAATAAAGTAAAATTATAAATGTTTCAATAAATGCTCAAACACTTGATTTGAGCATGTTCTAGCACCAGGTATACTTGTTTTGTAATGCAAGCAATGCAAATTAGGTCAGACAGGCTCCTTCTCAGCCATCCAATCATAACTGAGAGTCACAGAGTCCCCTTGTTTCCCTTTGGATGGAGAACTCCAATGCTATGTGGAAACTTCCACTCTGGGGGATTTTGTCAGAAACCAATCATCTGAAAGAGTATAAAATCGGGCCAATGAAATGCCAATTAGTTGGCGACGTCAGCGTGCACAGCTGGCGTCAATGACAATCAGTCATGCTATAAATACGAGGCTAGTGCAATGCTCGACATCCTTTTCGCTTTCATAGCCTTTCACAAGCTTCTGAGAGTCTTTGAGGTATCTCCAAACTGTGTCTGCACCGGTTGACACAGGTTCGAGAGATCGAGAAGCAGCTTCTCCTGGTCCAGAGCTTGTATACACAGTGGCAGATGGTTGAGCTGGGTTTTTCTCCCTTGCCTGGCATCCTTTGAGTCCAGTCCTCCAAGAATGGTTTGTATATAGGAAAAAAGCTTTCCTAAAAGAGCAACACGGTTGTGCAGCATGTC